CAAATGGTTATCCAACATCTTCTTAAAAACCTCCAGTGTTGGAGCAGCCACAACTTCTGGAGGAAATTGTTGCACTGATTAATTCTTCTAACTGTCAAGAAATTTCTCCGTAGTTCTAGGTTGCTTCTCTCCTTGGTTAGTTTCCATCCGTTGCTTCTTGCCTTGCCTTCTGGTGCTTTGGAAAATAGATTGACCCCCTCTTCTTTGTGGTAGCCCCTGAGATATTGGAATACTACTATCGTGTCACCAGAGGTGGGTTTCAGCAGGTTCTGACCAATTCTGGAGAACCAGTAGTGGAAATTTTGAGTAGTTCGGAGAACCGGTAAATACCACCTCTGGCTGGCCTGACACCCATTTATTCTCTGCCTCCTGAGTCCCAGCTGATTGGGAGGAAATGGGGATTTTGCAGTATCCTTCCCCTGGAGTGGGGTGGGAATGGAGATTTTACAGTGTCCTTCCCCTGCCATGCCCACCAAGCCACACACACAGAACCGGTAGTAACATTTTTTGAAACCCACCACTGCATGTCACCCCTTCTTTTCACTAGACTAGACTTCTATATATCATCAGAGGAAACAGACCTAAGTTTTCCCCACCTAAAATTAACTTAATTAAGCCTGCTTAAAAGCTGAGTTGGCCGTGTGTCTCCCAGGCAAGGTGGTTGGTCGAAGGCCGGTTCCCAGCCCTTGTCTTCCATCCACCCAGGATGGTGGATTCTCCAAGATGCCCAGGGAGTTGGGCTTCCCAGGACTATTACTGGAAGGCAGCCCAAGTTTGCTGTAGCTGCGGAGAACCTGAGTTTGGCTTGCAAACAATGCAAGTCCTGGGAAGCAGAACTCGAAGGTCTAGTGGATAACAGGTAAGATGTAGTCAGGCAGGAAGGATAATTTTTTCACATTTTAAGTAGCAAGTTTCTTAGGTGTGGTTTAGATCAGGGTCTCCAACCTTGGCAACTTTAAGCGTGGAAGGACTTCAACTCCCAGAATTCCCCAGTCAGCAAAGCTTAAAATTGCCAAAGTTGGAGACTCCTGGTGTAGATGATATAACAATTATGGCTCAATCATTGGCTCAAAATTTGTCCTCAGTTAGTACCTATCCATGGGGACAGAAATCACAAGTGGATGTCACAAGGTTCAATCATGGATCTGGGCCTGCCACTCTTTTTTTTAAATATAACTTTATTAAATTTCAAAAACTGCTAAAAAGCAAGGAAAGAAAGCAAGAAAAGGGAATTAAAAGTATAACAAGAAAAGAAAAAACATGAACAAAGATATTGAAAAAGAGTAAATTCTAATGTTCTTCAGGATAGATGCAGTGGTGGGATTCAGCCAGTTCATACCACTTCGGGAGAACCGGTTGTTAACTTTCTAAGCAGTTTGGTGAACTGGTTGGTGGAAGAAATCATTAGGACAGAGAACCGGTTGTTAAATTATTTGAATCCCACCACTGGATAGATGCATATAAAGAAGACTCGTATTAAATGAAATTATTAAACCAAAATAAAAATGTTACATATAAAACATGCACAGAAAATGAAAGCAATACATTTCTATAATTCAAACAGAGCTAGTCATTAAATCCCCAATCAGAGTTTCATTTCTATTTTTCCCAAGCAAGAAGTCCAAAAGTGATTTCCAGAGGGAAGCAAAATAGACACATTTTTGTTTTTCATCAAAGTGGTCAATTTTGCCATCTCGGCCAGCTCCATTCATTCCCCAATCCATTCCTCCATTATCGAGGTTTGCAAACATTTCCACTCCTGGGCATGTGGAAGCCTTGCTATTATTTTCATGTATGAAAACAAAGTCCCATGTTTCCTCTCCATCTCTCACCCTGTCATATCTAAAAGAAAAACCTCTGGTTTTAGTTGCACATCGATTTTTGACACCTTCTAAATCAAAGTACATATTTGGTCCCAATATTTCTTAGTACTCTTACACGTCCACCAAAGGTGATAAGAGATTCTTTCACAATGCTTAAATTTCCAGCACTGATATGACATTCCCTCGTATATCTTTGACAATTTATCAGGTGTTAAATACCAATGATATGTCATTTTATAAAAAATACCCTCAAATTATAACTCAGTGTAAACATCAATCTTTTAGTCTACATGTTTTCTCATTGATCAAGCGTAATATTATATCCCAAGTGATTTGTGCATTTAATCATACAATCCTTAACATATTTGTCCTCCTGATTAAGTTTTGATCGCAATTGATATAACTTAGCAATGTTCATGATTAGAACATTAGTCCCTTTCAAAATTTATTTATTTATTTATTTATTTATTTATTTATTTATTTATTTATTTATTTATTTATTTATTTATGAAATTTCTATACCGACCTACTCCCGGAGGACTCAGGGCGGTGAACAGCCAAGATAAAATACAGATAATACAAATATTAAAAATCCATTAAAATTATTAAATATTTTGGCCAAAAACAAATTTGAAACACCCAATTTGTAAAACAGATTAAATGATTTAAAAATTTAAAAGGGAGAGTTAGGCCAGGCCAGCCTGCTGAAATAAAAATGTTTTGAGAGCACGACGAAACGTGCGCAGATCCGGAATCCTCCGTATCTCCGGGGGGAGCTCGTTCCAGATGGTAGGTGCCCCCACAGAGAAGGCTCTCCCCCTGGGGGCCGCCAGTCGACACTGTTTGGCCGACGGCACCCTGAGGAGCCCCTCTCTATGGGAGCGTACTGGTCGGTGAGAGGCTATTGGTAGCAGAAGTTTCGAAAGCAAAGCTATATTTTTCTAATCACTTGGATGAGAAGGTGGAGGAAATGCTAATTATATTTTCAGGGGATCCAAAAATAAAAACCGAAACAATGCCAGTCAGTGAAATGGGGTTGCTTGTTTGGTCTGGTGTGATCCACAACCTACAGCTATTTCTCCTCAATTTACCAGATTCCCTTTGATCTCCCTCTTCTCCCAAGAGGATATAACCTGTCAGGCATCAGGTACAAAAGGAACATCTTACAAAAACAGTCCATTTGATGATGAGTGCAATGGGACAGAAAGTTTATTCTGATCTCTGTTGGAAAAGAAAAGACACTCACAAGAGAAACAAGGGGAAACAGGGACATAAAAAGTTTTTTTTTCATTACGTCAAAGCACGATGGTACATTTTTAAAAAAACAACACTTCAGTCAACAAGGAAAGGTGGAGGGGGTGCTCAGAGTCTCTCTCTGCGGGTCTTCTAGCATTGGGCACGCCTCAAAAGAGGAGCCACATTGCTTAATACAGGTCTATCTTGGTAGATTTGTGTCACTCAATAAATAATACAACTGAAATCCTAGTAAAAACCACAGAGTAACACAGCCGCAGGGCTAAGGCTGAACAGACGTTTGTTTTCCAAATAGAGTCAGACAAGCAGCCTCCCCCTTGGCTCTTCAGAAAGGAGGGAACAGGTGTAAGAAACCCACAAGGGCCAGTTTCAGCCCCAGAGCAAAGATGGGGCAGGCCCAGAGGCTTTGAGTAGCCCCCTGGCTTTGTCTATTACAAATGGACACTAATCAGATGTTGTGGAAGATGGCAACTTTTAAAGAACTCTGTGTGGTGAAGGAACAGTCAATATCAAAATAGCAATAGCACTTAGATTTATATACCGCTTTGTGGTGCTTTACAGCTCACTCTAAGCAGTTTGCAGAGTCAGCCTCTGGCCCCCAACAATCTGGGTCCTCATTTTACTCACCTCGGAAGGATGGAAGGCTGAGTCAACCTTGAGCCTGGTGAGGATCAAACTCCTGGAGTGAGCAGTGAGTTAGCCTGCAATCCTGCATTCTAACCATTGCACCATCATGGCTTTTCTCGAACAAACCTGGACTTCGCTGCAAAAGAGCTGAGCTGGAGTTCATTGAGGGGGTTTGCTGACAACTCCCCCTTGAACCATTAGCCTTCCAGTTGCCTTTTCATTTGGTCTAGCTTGTTTTCTCAGCTCACCTGGTTTAATGGGGAAGGATTTCTATGCCCATTTTTTAGCAAGAGGAGATATGGGAAGAATTCAGCCCAGGAAAAACCTAACAGATGCCTTTGCCTCCCAAAAGAGCCTTGGTGGCGCAGCAGACTAAAGCACTGTTAAGTAACACCAGCTGCCTGCAATTACTGCAAGTTCAAATCTCTCCAAGGCTCAAGGTTGACTCAGCCTTCCATCCTTTCGAGGTAGGTAAAATGAGGACCCAGTTTGTGGGGGCAATAAGCTGACTTTGTATAAAAAAGAACACCGCTTTGGGGGGGGGGCAAAAAGCCCTACTAAGCAGGTATATACAAAAGTATGAAGGCTATTGCTTAACACATTGTAAGCCACCCTGAGTCTCCGGAAAAGGGCGGCATATAAATTGAATCAATAAATAAATAACTAAAAGGTAGACCACTAGAAGGTCAGCCATATTGAATTTACAGAGATGTAATGAGAGAAGGGGTAGAAGTTGCCGGAACTTTGGGGAAGAGTAATCATGTGATATAGGAATTCAACCTAATGCAGGCACAAGCCAAAGTCAAACAAGGGTCTTTGGGCTTTAAGAGAGCTGATTTCAACCAATTTAGAGCTTGGGAAGAATTCCATGGATGAAAATCTTGAAGGGGAAAACAACTCAAGAAGCTTAGGAAATTCTGAAAAATGAGAGTATAAAGCCCAATCTAGCACAATACCATGAAAAAAAGAAAATAAGAGATCCAAGAAGAAACCAGCATGGTTGCATAAAGAACTCTGATAAATTGAAAAGCAAAAAAGAGAAGTATAAAAACTGGAAAGGGGGACACATAGCTAAGGCAGAATACTAGTATATGAACCTGCAAAACTGAAGTCAAGAAAGCTAAGGCTCAGAAGGAACTAAGACTTCCAACAATTACAATTTTTAAAAATTACATATTATATTAAACATTATATATTATGTTTAATAATAAGCATTATAATAATAAACATTATATTATAGACAGAGGTATGTCTGATTTGTTTATTAACAAGTATTTTCCTGGTTCTTTTTCTCAGCAACTTTCAAGTATACCCCTGGTGGAATGTCCCACTTCTGAATCTGGCAATTCCCAGATAAGTTTTGCTTATTTATTGGATTCAATTTGATTTGTATAGCCCTGCATTTCACATGTATGACTGACTGAAGATTCCCCTTCACTCTATAAGCAGGAAGGATGTCAAGGCTAAAATTCTTGCTCCACTGTGCCTTGTCTTTTGCTGAAGTGAAATAAGCTCTCCAGGTTGAGAGCTCTCGGAAAGCAAAATTCTCCAGCTACATTCTAGATTTGTCAGGATGGCTTATTTATCGGTGAGCATACATGTACTGTATATTTATTTGGCAAATCCTGGTTCCTGACCTATCAGTATGAAGAGCTGTTTAATTTGAGGAGAGGGTGGAAAAGGCAAATCATGGAGTGTTGGGTTTTATTCTTCTGTTCAGGCAAAGCAACGAGTGGAGATGACAATCCTCCAAGGAGGTTTTGGTTGCCTGCCCACAGTCAACCCTCTGGCAGAGCTGGAAGGAAACTGAGGCACCTGAGGAACTCTTTGCTGAACAAAAAGAAGGAGGATCAATCAAACTGTGGGGGCACCTGCCCTCTGGAATGAGCTGCCCCTGAAGGTTCGCATGATCCCCGACCTACGTACCTTTCGCCGTGCCCTTAAGACTCTTTTGTTCCAAGAGGCTGGCCTGGCTTAGAAAATGAATTTTAAATTGGGTGTTTGTAGCTTTTAATATAAGGGCCAAATTTATATATTTATTTTAAATTGTTTTTAAATTTTGTGAGTATTAAAACGGCTGTACACCGCCCTGAGTCCTTCGGGAGAAGGGCGGTATAGAAGTTTAATAAATGAAATGAAATGAAACAAACACGTCTGTAGTATGAAAACTAATTTGGAGTCCTCAGGACCCCACCAGCCCATAAATTACCCCATGCATGTGTGGGACACTTTGGGGTTCAGAAGAGATACATTAAAGGAGAGGCATTCAGAGCAGATCAAGGCACACGGACTAGGACATGATGAGGGAGGTGTTGAGATGTGACTTCTTATCATGGATAAGAATGTTAATGATAAGAAAAATGGGGGGGGGGAATAAAAATGACTGAAGCCAAGGCTTGTGATTAACTAGCTGTCTAATCCTCAGGTGAACCTCAACAGAAACTCCCAGCCACACCTTGTGATCAGGAATTCTTATCGCTTTTCTCCAGGTAATCACGCTGCCCTCCAGCTGGGCAAACGGAGTCTTGGAAACCTTATCACCTTGCTGGCTTTGCCCTCTGCACCCCACTGAAGCTGCCTTTGTGCAAATGACGGATGAGCCCAAAGGTTTTCCTTAGTGTGTGAACTGTGGCTGCACAGATGTCAATTAATAAGCTATTACTTTGTAACCAGCAGGGCCCACCTAAGGACTCCCTTTAGAAAGGGGTCCTGTTATTTGACTCTCCTGGGCAAAGGCCTCTCTTGCTGAAGACCAACAAGAGTCCTGCCAAGGCCAGCATTCACCGTGCCTAAGTGCAGTAAATCCTTGGCTCCTAGAAGCCCGGGGGGTCCAACCTGTAGGCGTCTTCCCCCGTGAGGCTTGCTTTCGCTGTCCATTGAATCTTGTGGGCTGCCTGTGAGATTCAATGCTTTTAGCTGTTTTAATGTTTTTCCTAGTTTTGCACGCCACCCAAAGTCCATGTTGAGACTCCAAGGTTCCGTCCAGCAGTATGATTCTATGCAAAAATCCAAATAAACTCTCTCAGCTAACTCATGCCAGGCTGGGAAACAGCTGGGAGCAGGGGACTATTTAGATCAGGGGTCTCCAACCTTGGCAACTTTAAGCCTGGAGTCCGCCAGGCTTAAAGTTGCCAAGGTTGGAGACCCCTGATTTAGATCTTCATAGATCACAAGGAACGTGGCAAATCTGGAGTTAGCAAAGGGGAAAGTCTTAAATGCCCAGGAGGTCATAGAAACCTAGGGCTGTAAGAGACCTTGGGGAGTTCTAGTCCAACCTCCTGCTCAAGGCAGCAGTCCTTACACCATTCAAATGCTTGTCCAATCTTTTCTTGAAAATCTCCAGGGATGGAGCAGCTACAATTCCAAGAGGTTTTAACGACTCTCAGAAAGAGTGCTAATGACCAGATGATTGCAAAGAATAGAAATCCTTCCGTTCTCCTCCATTCAGTCAGAATTGAAGAAGCTTCTTGGATGATGAAATGTCTTCAAGGAAAAACAAAGTAGTCCATTTGTTTTTTGAAAACAGTACCTTTGGGACATCTGGGGGGCAAGTTGTTGGAGTCTCTTTTTTGTATTGTGATGACCAAAACTGGGCACAGTATTCCAAGTGTGGCCTCACTAGTGCAGTACACACTGGTACTATCACTTCATGTGAATTTGATACTATCCCTTTGTTGATGCAGCCCAGAACTGCATTGGCTTTCTTGGCAGTTGCAACACATTGCTGGCTCATACTTACCGTATTTCTCAGAGTATAAGACGCACCTTTCCCCCCCAAAAGAGGCTGAAAATTTGGGTGCATCTTATACTCCGAATGTAGCTTTTTCAAAGCTTTTTTTCAGCCCTAATGAGGCCCTAATGAGGCACTAGCGAGTGATCTTCCCAGCTTTGCCTGCTCCCTCGACTCTGTGCTTTAATAAGGCGCTAAAGAGTGAAGCAATCTCCCTGCTTTGCTCTGACTCTCAGCTGTTCTTTAGAAGCTTTTTTTCAGCCCTAAGTAGGCGCTAGCCGAGTGAAGTGATCTCTTCCCCCCGCCCCCATTTGCCTGCTTTTCTCATTGCTGCTTCCTCTCAGATGTGCCTTAGAAGCTGTTTTTTATTCCCAAGAAGGGGTTAAAAAACCAGCAAACTAATGTGCTGAAGCTGAGCAGACTAAGGACGCTAGCCAGATGAACACCTGGTATGCAGATTTCCCCCCCTCCCATTTTCCTCCCCAAAAACTAAGCTGCGTCTTATACTCTGAAAAATACGGTAAGTGGTGATTCATTAGGACCAGTGATGGGTTACTACCGCTTTGCCCCGGATCGGATGAACCAGTAGTGGCAGTGATGGCTGGCTCTGCCCTCCCGCCTGGACGTCTCTGCACATGCGCAGAAGCATTGCACACATGTGTGAATGCGTGCAAGCCCACAAGCGAACCGGTAGCAACGGGATTTGAATCCCGCTACTGATTAGGACGTCACTCTTACAGCATGATATAGGAAGAAGGATCATGGGAGGCTGAAGCTGATGGCAGTTTTTTGTGGCCTCTCCTGAATTGTCGCTGCCCACCTAGTCTAAGCATCAGATGAAGGCCTGTTGCAGCCCTCCCTCCTTACAAGGCTCATCAGACCACCTGCAGACATCATGGCTAATATAACCAAAACCTTCCACTTTATACCACTCCTTTAGCCTCACATTGAATTCTGCTATGTGCTGATCTTTTCCTTATCGCTCCTTATATACAGGTAAAACCTTGGAAAAAGTAGGGCTACAACCTATCCTGCTAAATTCCTGTCCCAAGCTCTGGAAATCATTCTGCACAGAAAGAACATCTTTTTCAGACTGGCCATTGGTGCCAAGATGGACAACTTCTTCAACATCACAGTCCTTACTAGCTTTCTTGAGTATCTGAACAACGCACCTCTTTTCTCTGCCGGCAGTAGCACCTGGCAGACAGCTCACCTCTTTCAAAACCTCCACCTCCTTTCCTAATTTGACATCTCTTACAATTGAATCACCAAGCAGAAAGTGGCTTCTCTTTTTAGATATCTTGCTCTTCTCACATGACGGTTGTGTAATACCTGATCCACATCTTTCCCTGTCCAAAACAACTTCTTAGTCTCAGAGACGATGCTCCTTTGAGTTATCACCGTCATCACAAACAGCTTGACCTGCCATCTTAGTATCCCCATGAAGGTCAACAAGGACACTGTATCTGCCTGGCAGGGACAGAGTGAAACGTTTGTGTTTAGGATTCACAGCTCTCACCCTGCCAGATCTCACAGTTGTCCATAGTGCCTTTCTCCTGCAGGATCTTTGTGGCAGAGGGGGCTGATAGCGGGGTAGTTCAATAGAACAGGACCCCTGAGCTGGACACCAGGGGTGGGTTCTAAATTTTTTACTACCGGTTCTGTGGGCATGGCTTATTTTGTGGGCGTGGCTTGGGGGTAATGTGACTGGGTAGGCATGGCTAACTTTTTTTTTTTAACTTTTAAAAGCATTATTTCTACAACTTTAAGAGGTTGCAGAAAAAAATGCTTTTAGAAGCTTCTGACGATCAGGCAAATCTGCTGGGATCGCCAGAGGCTTTTAAAGGGATTTTTTCCCCCTACAACCTCTTCGGCTGAAAAGCAGAAGAGGTTGCAGAAAAAATGTTTTCAGAAGCCTCTGAAGATCCCAGCTGAGCCGTGCGATCATCAGAGGATTTTTCTTTTAACTTTTAAAAGCATTTTTTCAGCCGAAGAGGTTGTAAAAAAAATGCTTTTAAAAGTTAAAAAAAAAAAAAGCCTCTGATGAGGTGGGCAGGGTAAGCGAGTGGTGACTGGGCGGTGACCGGTTCAGGGGCGTGGCCAGCCAATGTTATTACCGGTTCTCCAAACTACTAAATTTTTTTACTACCGGTTCTTGTGAACCGGTGTGAACCGGGAGCATCCCACCACTGCTGGACACCCAATTTATGCCCAGGGGGTACAGATACTCTAGATCAGGACCCCAACCTCTGTTTCCAATCAGGTCATGGAAATAGTGGCCAAGCATGCAAGCATGCATGCACATCCCCATACAGAGCAAGGGGCAAGCATGTACACGTGTGCTCCACTTGTGTGAGTGGGAGGTGCATGTGCACGCTGCTTGCATAAATGGAGCTGTGGACGTGTGCGCGCTTGCTAGCCGCTCATGCAGAACCATCCCACTCACCACGGCCAGCTTGCCATGGCCAACTCACTGTGGGCCAACTCACCCTTGGACAACTCAACCCTTGAGTAGCAAGGGTGTGCACATGAAAGCGATTGAGAGTAGTTATGAAATAACACAGCCAACACACAGATACACTGAGTTGTGTTTACTTTCAGGAAAATAGTAAGGCACAGTCCAATAAACAGTCCAGGTCATACATGTATAAAGCAGTAGATAGTTAAACAATAGTCCAAGGATAATCCAATAACAAAGTCTTCTTACCAGTCGTTGTAGTCATACACAATAACAGTTGCAAACAGTAGCAAACACAGCAAAGAGCAGTAACGATCAGCAAAGAGAGAAACAAATCAGATTTCTAGCTCCCTCTTAAGGACATTGGCTACAAAGCTAACCAATCAGGACACAGTATGATGCAATACAGCAGTCTTAACACTATATTGATGGTTTATATATTGCCAGCCCAACAAGTTAGGTAATCATCATTTCCTTACATTAACAATTTAATTTAATTATTTAAAATAATTTAAAAATAATTTTAATTTTTGTCATTCACATTTCATTCTATCCCTCCTTTTGCATCCTTTCTTTAATGATAATATTCGATCCATTTCTTTGATATTAGTTTAACTCTTGTCTCGTAGCGAGCTGGCATGGCAATTTGTCCTGCAGTGAGTTGGCCACGGTGACTTGACTGTGGTGAGTTCAGCCGTCCTTCGAGAGCCAGCAGGAATTATGAGGAGCACTTTTAAAACTATGATTGAGGCTTGCAAACTATGAGTTTAGTCAAGGCAAGCTAGCGGGGAAATCCCCTTTTGTCTGGGGAAAAGAAAGAGCTTCAGTCAAAGCTTGCCAACCTGGTTCCTTTGATATTAAGCACATTAATTTGCTGCCTGGCCCTTGAATATATGGGAGGCGTCTGCTAATTGTTTTAAAACTTTGCCTCTGATCTTGTGTCATGAGCTGGATTGTTGGATCTGGTCCATTTGGCTCTTGGATCTGCGCCCATCTTTCTCTAGTAGGTCCTAGACCTGGCCAGGATGTTGATGGGGCTGGCCTGGTGGTACAGCTTTTTTTTTTTAAAAAAATATAAAATGTATTTTTTTATAATGGTGTTGTCTTTTTCTTCTTTCTTTTGATAATTGAGTGACTGTATCAATTTACGCAATAAATGAATGAAACAAGTCTGATGTTTGAAATGCTAGTTCTGACCTTATCGGCAATGCCTTATTTCATCCAGTTGTAATTGCTTGGGCATGTACCTAAAGTTGAAAGGAAGTTTACTTTTTTCTTACTTTTAATAAAATTAAATTTTATATTTCAAGCTTTTTTCATAGCTCGAGAAGGAGACTGAGCAACATTTCTGTAGTTCTGCACCAGGTCATGCCACCAGGATGGAACTGGGCCACAGTGTCTCTACGTCGGCAAAGGCCACGGATCAGCCACGGGCGGATTGCCTGGGGCCTGGCAAAGCTCTTCATCTCTTGTGCAGTGAACACAACAATAGCACTTTGAACCTTGAGATAATCCTAAATCATGGTATTCTCTTGAAAGGTTTGCTCTTCCTCTGTTTTGTGTTGTTTGCAAAGTTGACAACTATGTTTTCTAAACGCCTTTGCAGGTCATTTATAAATATTGAATGGTTTCACAGTCCTCTCCACACTTTGCTATAAATTCATGAGAGATTTAATTTAATGCTTTGCTGAAAAGATTCACTATGTCTGTTGCATGTCCATGGTCAGTAACTGATCTCCTGTACCTCCCTCCCTCTCCTTCTCCCTCTCATCTCTCTCCTTGTCCCTCTCATTCTCCTTGAATATCTCTCTCCTTTCCTTCCTCTTTTTCTCTTTCTTTTTCTCTCTTTCTCTCTTTCTCATCTCTCTCCTTCTCCCTCCCTCCCTCTCTCTTTCTCCTTCACCCTTTCATCTCTCTCCTTCTCCCTCCCTCCCTTCCTCTCTCTTTCTCCTTCTCCATCTCATCTCTCTCCTTCTCCCTCTCCTTCTCCTTCTCCCTCTCTCCCTCCCTTCCTCTCTCTTTCTCCTTCTCCCTGTCATCTCTCTCCTTCTCCCTATCATCTCTCTCCTTCTCCCTCTCATTCTCTTTGTCCCTCTCTCTCTCCTTCCCTTTCTCTCTTTCTTTCTCTTTCTCTTTTTCTCATCTCTCTCCTTCTCCCTCCCTCCCTCCCTCTCTCTTTCTCCTTCACCCTCTCATCTCTCTCCTTCTCCCTCCCTCTCTCCCTCCCTTCCTCTCTCTCTCTCTCCTTCTCCCTCCCTCCTCCCTCCCTCCCTCTTTCTTTCTCCTTCTCCCTGTCATCTCTTGCTCACACCTCTGTCCCCTTTCCTCCCATCCCCCCTCTCTCCATCTCAGATTGATTTGGTTGACTTGCTCCTGCTAACTCCCAACTGGCACCTACCAAACAGTCCCTGTTTCTTTCTAAATGCTTGGAACATAACTGCTTAATAAACTCCTCCCGTTTGGGCAGTTGACTGGTCTGTCGTTCTCCAGGTTGACACTTTCCCTCTCTTTGAAGAGAAAAACAATATTTGCACTTCTCCAGACTTCTGGCATTGCATCCCCCTCCCCCCCAAATGTCTCAACGATCACAGAAAAAAAGATGAAAGCTGGAAACTATCACTTCTGTGTCAACATATTGCTCCTACTGCTGACAATTTTTCCCTGGACTCCGAATGCAGTTTCAAAAATGCTTGAACCACAGAATACAGTTATTCACCACTGACACCATTTGCCTACCTCACTCCAAAATGCTACCTTGGTATCCCTTCTGGATTCATTTGTTTGCTTGCATATTACATTTATATGATACCCATCTCACTCATAAGGCTGCCCACAAACAATAAAAAGATAAAAACAATTGGAATTAAAGAAATTGTATAAAAATTAGAACCCAGAAGGCAGGTGGCACAAGGGAGAGGGAAAGTTGTCCTATTCCGCCACAGAAGATGCCTTTAAATCATCGACATTTGGCAGATGGTTCTATTGCAGAATTCCAATGATATTCCGAAATAACTCTATTCTACTTTTATTCCAGAAGAGTGCTTGATATCAGGTGATAACTGGTTCCTCTTGAATGCCCCACTGCAAAATGCTTTGCCAAAGGAGAACAACATTTGTCAGATGGCTGAGCCATCTGTCAAAGCTCATCTCCTCCCAGCTGACACTGAAGAAGAGAATTGGTGGGTGCTTATCAGGCTGTGGCTGGTGGCAGTTGACGGGAGGTGAAAGGAAGCCAGGGACAGCTCCCCTCTCTGTCCTTCACTTATACAGAATGCAGGTAGTCCTCGACTTACAACAGTCCGTTTAGTGACCGTTCGAAGTTATCGCAGCACCGAATAAAATAACTTACAATCGTTTTTCACACTTATGACCATTGCAGCATCCCCACTGCAATGAATACGAATAAAATTGGGATGCTTGGTAACTGACTCATATTTATGATGGTTGCAGTGTCTTGGGGTCACGTGATCCCCTTTTGTGACCTTCTGACAGGCAAAGTCAATGAGGAAATCAGATTCACTTAACAACCGGGTTACTCATTTAAAAACTGCAGGGATTCACTTAACAAATGCGGCAAGACAACTTGTAAAATGGGGCAAAACTCACTTAACATATTTCTTAACATCAATCTTGGGCTCAATTGTGGTTGTAATGGACTACCTATACATACAGAGTTGGAAGGGACCTTGGAAGTCATCCAGTCCAACCTGCTGGCACCAAGGGTGAAATCCAGCAGGTTCTGTCAGGTTCTGGAGAACTGGTAGCAGAAATTTTGAGCAGTTCGGAGAGCCGGCAAATACCACCTCTGGCTGGCCCCAGAGTGGGGTGGGAATGGCGATTTTACAGTATCCTTCCCCTGCCATGCCCACCAAGCCATGCCCACAGAACCGGTAGTATAAAAAATTGAATTTCCCCACTGCTCTGCACTGCTGGTTCTACCTTAAAACTGTGCAGGCAGCCCCTTCCCCTGGCTTCATGGCAGAACGGAGCTGGGTAGCTGATGCCGGCACCCTTGAGACATGTAACTCTTTCTCAGGAGATTTGCTCTTTGGGCCTAACAGAGAAATGCTTCCCTTGGCATTCCAATGCTCCGCAGCCAGTGGGCCTTTCAGGAGCCCGAAATGGGAGGGTTTGCTACAACTAGATAGCTGGTGTTAGTGGCTGACATTGACTGTTGTTTAAGGGCCTCCTGATGGTCTGTAATCAAAGGCAGGATGCAAATGTGCTGAATTCAGGGAGAAGGGCAGAGGTGGGATTC